TTTTTTTTTTTTGTTTCTCTACACGAGCGATTCCGAAATCGAGTTGGTTGAACAACGAATTGAACACTTCATTGTGCCAGCTTGGATATTCTACAGATTTGCATTCACTGATAGGGATAGTTTTATTTGGCTGGCTTTTAGTTGTTGCAAAGTGAACAATAAATTTGCTGTCTGATAGAACTTATTTCTTAGTTGGGTTATTCCGTTTTCTAATTCGAGCAAGTGGAAAATACTTAAACCGAGTTCACCATTCGAAGCTCAATAGTTGCACCCCATAAAAAGTCGTTGATTTACTTTTACGTATGTATGTCAGTGTGAAGATTTTATTTTTTAACTCTCTCATCTCATATTGCTATTATATTTCCCCCGTCTTTGCAATTTGTCCTTTCAATACATAATGAATTGACGTCTTGTACAGCTAAGCCCACATTCCTAGAGGCTCGTAAATGTCATTCAGAAGCATAGCACGGGACATAAGGGACAGTTTTGGAAGCTTATCACGCCGGAGTTTTGATGTGAGGCTCACGGGCCACCACAGAGGGAAATCACAAGGCTCCCTCCAAGACTTGAACGATCAGTCTGTCGTGATTCAGAACAGCCACTGGGCTAATCTCCCTCCTGAGCTGCTTTATGATGTGATTAGGAGATTGGAGGAGAGTGAGAGCATGTGGCCTGCCCGGAAGCATGTGGTGGCATGTGCTGCCGTCTGCCGCTCGTGGAGGAGCATGTGCAAGGAGATTGTCAAGTGTCCCGAATTTTGCGGGAAGCTTACCTTTCCCGTATCTTTAAAACAGGTAATGTATTTTTGAGTAACAGGTTTTTGGCAACTGGTTCATGATTGGTGTTTTTCTGCTTGTAAATGTCTAGTAGTTAATGTTGTGACCTTATATATCTGATAGAATTTTGAATCCTTCTCCTTAATTTTTTTTTCCTTGTATGTGCAGCCGGGGTCCCGTGATGGGTCCATCCAGTGCTTCATAAAGAGAGACAAGTCGAATTTGACATACTCTCTGTTTTTGTGTCTTAGTCCTGGTGAGTGCTCAGGGTTTGGTGTGTGTGTGTGTTTGTGTCTTATACTCTTTTATATGTTGGTTCATTAATATTATTTGCGTAGCAATTATGTATTTTTCCGCTTCATTGTCTGGCGTGAAGTATTGGTTTACTATTGGTATTTTGGTTCACTAGTCACGTAGAAATTCCTCAGTTTTTTTTAGCACATTTGTTGTCCTTTATATGAACGTAAGCTAATCATTTATAATGAATGTACTCCATTTGGTTCAAGAATCATTTGTCATTTATGAATCAAGTCCTACAATTTGGTACATAATAATATGTCTCATCAATGAATTTTATTATATCACATCCCCAACCCCCAACTCAATAGTATATATATGTATACATATGTGTTTGTGTGTGTAAATACATGGGATCAATACATTAATCTTGGCTCGCGCATGAATTGTTATGTTCACGTTGATTGCCTGAGCATACCTATTATGTCAGTATTCTCATGAAATCCGGCATTCGACATTTCGTAGCTTTGCTCGTCGAGAATGGGAAGTTTCTTCTCTCTGCAAAACGAACTCGTAGGACTACTTGTACCGAGTATGTCATCTCCATGGATGCCGACCACATTTCCAGATCAAGCAGCACTTACATCGGCAAACTAAGGTATAATTTACTGCCACTATTGGATAGTTTTATTGCATTTAATACTGGAATCTATTTTTGATTTATTGGAAAACAATCTATATAACATCATATAGAATCAAACATATATAAGATAACCACCCTTTCCAAAATTAGCTACATAAAAAGTCTTGTCGATTCTTGTAGATCAAACTTCCTAGGCACCAAGTTCGTAATCTACGACACGCAGCCCCCCAGTTTATGCTCCCCCGCCCCGCCGCCACCCGGGCGGTCGAGCCGCCGCTTCTCCAAGAAGGTCTCCCCAAAGGTCCCGGCGGGCAGCGGTGGCAACTACAACATTGCCCAGATCGCGTACGAGCTCAACATCCTCGGGACACGGGGCCCGCGCCGCATGCATTGTGTCATGCACTCCATCCCGGCCTCCTCCCTCGACCCTGGCGGCATGGTTCCCGGCCGGCCCGAGCTCCTCCCGAGGCCTCTCGAGGACTCATTCCGCAGCCTCTCCTTCTCCAAGTCGCTCGACCGCTCGACCGAGTTCAGCAGTGCTCGATTTTCCGATATTGGCGGCCCGGAGGATGACGTGGCCAAGTCCCGACCGTTGGTGCTCAAGAACAAGGCGCCCAGGTGGCACGAGCAGCTGCAGTGCTGGTGCCTAAACTTCCGGGGACGGGTGACGGTTGCGTCCGTGAAGAATTTCCAGCTGATTGCCGCCGGTGGCGGTGCTCCGGCAGCGGTGGCCGGGGGATCGCAGCCGGCTGGAGGACAGCAGCAACAGTCGGATCACGATAAGATTATTTTGCAGTTCGGTAAGGTTGGGAAGGATATGTTCACGATGGATTATAGGTACCCGTTGTCGGCTTTTCAGGCGTTTGCTATATGCCTGAGCAGCTTCGACACCAAACTAGCTTGTGAATAGAGTATGGGACCATCTTCTCAGGGTGTTTGTTCTTTGGTTAACTGTGAGTTACAGAAAAATAGCTGCTGTATATTTTTTTTTCCCACTTTTTATGCCTGTTTTTCTTTATTTGATGATGTTGTAGAACTTGGGCTTCATCATGATTCTGGCCTAAAAACAGAAAGAAAAAGGAGTCGGGACCTAATGATTAATTCCAATACATGTGGGTAGTCGTCAATGTTTAAATTCTCCACCAAAAGCTGTCACCTGTCATTGACAAGTGCCGTTAATATTCGCAAATACTTGCAGACTCCCTGAGCACCCCAACTCAATTACATCGACCCTTGATTTTTTAGAGTAGGCGACCCCCCGGCTACTGCTACTATAGTAGCCCTTATTCCCATATACCCCAGTTATTAGTAGTTGTTTAGGCGGCACGCACAAAGCAAAGATAAAGTAGGCGGGAAGCGAAGTGAAGTCAAAGAGAGGTAGTTGGAGTTGCCTTGATGTCAGAAAGGTGTCCAGTTCAGAAGGTGCGACAGAATGGCTATTCTCTTGCTCGTGTCTTGGCCACAGCTACTGCTCATAGTCTCGGAATTTCTCTCGCCCTCATCTTGCACTACTCCAAACAGCGCCAGGAACGACTGACTTGTACAATTAGAAGCGCCTTTAAGTCTAAGGATCGTCTAGGCCGAAATAGCAGTCAACTGCGGCTTCTCTCAGTAATGGACTTTCTTTAATTATTTCTTAGTCATACTTAGGTGTGACAAGACTTTTTTAAAATGAACATGTTTCTTTATAAAAAAATGAACATGTGTAAATTACACATGTTCATTTTATAAAGTAACATGTTCATTTTAAATTGTTTTGGCACACCTTGCTAGGTGTGCCAAGGTGTTATGACCGTCATTTTATGGCCGAGACAACGAAAATCTCCTTGGCCATAAAACATTGAATAAGATAAATTGGAGTAATCTTTGACCACCAATCAAATATGTTGAATTTTTGTGGCTGAATTGGTTTACGAGC